GAGATTCTGTAGTTTTGGTTGTTCAAGACCAGCCCCTTCGCATGCTCCAGCAGTTTATACATGGGGTAGTTGTTGGGGTGGACCAGCTCAAAACCCAAGATCTCAGCTTGGGTGGTAGAGTTGATCAGCCAACCAGCTCTCGATGCCTGTGACACCAGATCCAGCTCTCCTGCTTTGCCGAGGAGAAGGGTGGGCCAGCCTGCCACAGGCAGCAAAGAAGGGAAGGAGGGACACATCTCTCCCATACCATGGCCAATGAAGGGTGGAGCCAGCTCTGCAAAGCCCTCAGACATTAATATGGCCTCAGGCAGCAGCTCACACCAGGGATGTCTGCATGGCTTTGGTAGTGACATGGGCCACTGACATCAACACAGACCCCTACTGCTGGAGAGACATGGATCCGGACAGGACCCTCGGTGGCATCACCAACTGGCTGGGACTTCATCATGACTTCAGGTGGCAGTGCAGGATACTCTCACATCAGGCTGATCTTCAACACCCTCGCTTCTCCAGTTCTGCCTCTCTTCATAGTGGACAAACCATTCAGCTTCACAATCTCTCAACCACATCCTTGCTCATCATACTGTTGTTTGCTCGACCATACAGTGGGAGGGGGCACTTAATTTTGACAATCATTTTTCATTTATTCTGTGTGCCTGGTTCTGTAGCCAAGAAATCACTACCGAATAATGTAAGATCATTAAGATTTACTCTGTATTTTGTCTAGGAATCTAATAGTTTAAGTTCTTACATTCAGGTTTATTTGCTGCAAATTCTTTCTCTTTAATTTATTCTTTATATACTGATTTCAGCCCCTTCCCTCTTCCCCTCCCCTTCTTCTTAGAAGAGGGAGCCCCCCTTCTCACCCCCACCCCTGTGCCATGCCACCCCACTTCATGTCGCATCAGGACTAAAACAGTCTTCTTCCACTGAGGACAGACAAGGCTGCCCAGCTACAGAAAAGTGATCCAACAGCAGGCAACTGCGTCCATATCACTGACAGCCCCAGCTCCAGTTGCTAAGGGACCCACATGAAGACAGCTGTCCATTAGTTCCATAAATGTAGAGGGCTTAGGTACGGTCCATGCATAGTTCTTGGTTGGTGTTTCAGTTTCCACACACCCACCTGGGCCCTGGCTAGCTGTCTCTGTTGGTCTTCTTGTGGAGTTCTTATCCCTTCAGGTCCCTCTATCCTTCTCCTGACTCTCCCACAAGATTCCCAGATCTCCCTCTAATATCTATTGGTGGGTCTCAGCATGTTTTGATATGCTGCTGGGTGGGGCTTCTCAGAGGACAGTTAGCTTGGCTCATGACATGTGTGTCTTTCTGGGTCTGGGTTACCTCACTCAGGATAATCTTTCCTAGTTCCATCCATTTGCCTGCAAATTTCATGATTTCCTTGCTTTAAATATCCAAGTAGTATCCCATTGTGTATATGTACATTTTCTTTATCCATTCTTTGATTGAGGGACATCTAAAAAGTTAAAGTGACAGCACACAGTAATGAGGATGTGGAGAAAGGAGTACAGTCCTCCATTGTTGGTGGCAGTGCAAACTTGTACAACCTCAGAAAATTGGGAATAGTTTCTACTTTAAGATCCAGCTATACTGTTCCTGGGCATATACCCAAAAGATGCTCCATCACACTACAGGGACACTTGCTCACTTATGTTCATGGCAGCTTTATTCATAATAGCTGGAAAATGGAAACAAAATTTTTATATGGCATGACATTGAAATCAAACCAGAATCTTTTGCATTTGGATATTCAGTTACTCCAGCATCATTTATTGAAAAGACTGTAACTTAACTGCACTGAGTTTTCTTGGCAACCACTTTTCAAGTAAAATTATCTCAAAGATTTATACTCATTTCTGAATTCTCAGTTCTAATTCATTGTTCTATATATATTCTTTTGTGTGTGCTTATGTGTGTATGCACATGTTCATTCAAATGTCTGCAGAAGTCAGAAACTGGTGTCAGATTCTCTGGAGCTGGAGGTACAGGCAGTTGTGAGACACTTGATTGCAGGTGCTGGGAACTAAACCAAGTCCTCTGCAAAAGCAGCAAGTGCTCTTACTTACTGAGCCATCTCTCTATCCTTAATCTATAATCTGTCCTCACACCACACTGTGATTTCAATAGGCCCCAAACCTTAGCACAACTGACTCCATAATGGAAGTACCATTCAGGTCTTAAAACTCAGCAGATAGACAGCACCACCTGCCAAAACAAAATCAGAGACCTAATCCATGAAAGTCCATAGTTCTGGGAAAATCTCTATATGTATTAACTTTGCTTTTTGGCTTCAGTAGTTCTGCTTCTGGAAAACAGTTCTTGCTAACAGATATCAACTTAGGATATGCTTAAAAGCTCACCCTGAGAAAAGCACAGGGCTACACTGTCATCCCAAATACCCAGTGTAGTTGCCAGCTGACTAATATTACCTTAAACCAGTGTGAGTATTCTTTTCCAGTGGATACCCCACAACATTTGTAGTAAACTTTGAATTCAAGAAATGTGAATCTTCTAATGGTATCTAGTTGTGTTTGTTTAGCATGTCTATTTTTGGGGGGGGACCTTTATTAACTTACAAATATATAGGTTTCATTAGTGCTTCTTTATTTTTTTTTTAAAACAAATTTTTGCTTCTCTCCCTGTCTTTTTCCCTTGGCCCCTTATGTCTTCCTATCTGCTCTGACTTCTTTTTACGCTCATTTTACATGTGACCTCTTAGTCCCCTCCTTCAACTCTTCATGTTCCCCTTAAATGATCTCCTATTTGAATTTTAAAATCAATATGTTGGTTTCTGTAAGTGCCAGCTGGGATTTAAAATAAACAAAAACAAAAAACAAACAAACAAAAAAAAAAAAAACAAGAATTGGATTAAGCTGTAGAAGAGCATGGTAAATACTGCCTCTAGTCAATATACTAGTTAAATATGGAATGTCTCTGCATTATTAGACTGTCTTTACTTTCTAAAAGAACATTTTGACAAGGCATATTAATTGATTTTTCAATATTAAATGACCCTGGCATCCTGGCGTGAATCCCAGTTTGTCTTACAGTATATTACTAGATTTGATTTGCTAGTATTTCCTTGGGCTTCTTGTAGATTTGCATCAAGCTTAGGGCACTACTAGCCATAATTTAAAATATTTTTTTCTTTCCTTTTCTGTCCTCTTTGAAAAATTATTTATTTTTCTGTGGATGGATGTTTGACTGCATGTACAACATGTGCATACTTGGTGACCAAAGAGGACAGAAGAGGGCATTGGTTCTCCTGTAACTGGTGTTACAGATGATTGTGATCCTGTGTGGGTGCTGAGAACTGAACTTGATGTATGTGGTGGCTATCCTTACTTTTCACATAAACTACTTCTGGAATTAACTAAAAACCCAAGCCATTGAACACACCTGGTTGTAGTGAGAGTTTTGATATCTTTAGAAACCCAGTTATCTAAATCTCTTTATGTTTTAATCCCAGGTGTGGGATATGGGGTTGCTTCAAATTGTACACAGCTAACTATGATTTGCCTCGTGCATTAACAAGGGTATGATTTTTGCCAGATGAAGATAGTTTACATTTGGAAATCTGGGGACTCTTGAGAAGGCATACATGCCAGAGTTCAGAGAGGAGCAAGGGTGCTCCAAAGAAAAACACAGCTGCTGCTCTCCCTGCTGCTGGTGGTTCATCCTGTTGCATTTGCTACTGCTGCTTTTCTGGACTGCTAGATAATCTGATGATGAAGACTGGACTTGCCCCCAAGGGACTATGTCCCTGTTCAGCAAGAAGCAGCCTTTAGAGTTCTACGACACCTTTTCCCTCTAACTTTTCTCTCCTACGTAGTGTTGGGAGATTGAAAGGAATTAGGGTGGATAAGGGTTGGAAGGGAGGCAGAGGTATAAGAACCCAATAAAGTATTGTAAAAAAGAAAAAAAATACACCTACACTAATTTGATCATTTGATGTAGGAAGACTCACTTAAATACCAGCTACACCTGGTGGAAGCCTTTATAAAGGACAAGGAAGAAAAATTTTGTTCTTTACCTGCTGCTTGCCCTCACTCACTGAGAAGTTCATTCCTTCACCAGTACTAGAGCCCACTTCTTCAGGATTCTGGTGTATACTAAAGACCAGTTGTGAACTGAAGTAGTGGATTCTTGGACTTTCCATTAGGAGACAGCCACTGTTGGACTAGTCAGGCCATAATCTGTAAGATACTCTAATAAACCCCAAATACTGCCATTCTATCAATTCTATTTCTCTAGAGAACCCTAATACAGTACATCAAATTTTTAGAACTATAATACCTTCTTGATGGATTTTTTTTTCTTTAACGAGTAGCTAGTGTCCTTCACAATCTGATTATTTTAGTTTGATGTCTGTTATGTCAGTCATTAAAACAGCTATACCTGTTTGCATCTGGATCCATTTGCTTGAAATACTTTTTAATATAATTTTTATTTATTACATTTTTCACTTTGTATAAAAAGCTGTAGCCCCACCCTTGTCCCCTCCCAATCCTGCCCTCCCTCTCTCCCTCCATCTCCTCCTGAGCCCCTTCCCCAGTCCACTGATATGGAAGGACCTACTCCCCTTCCATCTGACCATAGCCTATCAGGTCTCAATCAGGACTATCTTTCAAAGTCTTCCTCTGTGGCCTGTTAAGGCTGCTCGCCCCTCAGGGGGAGGTGATCAAAGAGCCAGCCACTGAGTTCATGTCAGAGACAGTCCCTGTTCCCCTTACTAGGAAGCCCATTTAGAGACTGAGCTGCCACGGGCTTTTTCCATTCTTTTACCCTAACGTGATATCTGTACTTGATGGTACAGATCTGTACTTGAGGTATGTACTTGAGGTATGTTTCTTGGATTCACCAAAAGACGAATCCTATTTTCCAATACAGTCTGTCTATGCCATGTTATTAGAGAATTCAAACCATTAATATTGAATTATTAATGAGCAATGCTTATAGTAATTCACTTTATTTTCGTTGTTACAGAGTGAGGAACACCATCCCCCCCATTTTGACCAACTGCTCTGGGATTATTTATTCTTTTGTGTCCTCTTATTCTTCTCTTCAGGGTAAAATATTGCTTCTAGTGCCTTCTGTAGAGCTGGATTGGTGAACAGAAATTGCTTCAATTTGTTTTATTGTAGAATGTTTTCCTTTCTTTGGAGATTAGGATCAATAGTTTTGCTGTGTATAGTAGTCTGTGCTGGTATCTGTGGTCTCTTGGATCTTATAGAACATATATTCAGTCCTTGCTGGCTTTCAGAGTCTCCATTAAAAATCAGGTGTTAGTTATTCTTTTTTGTTTTGTTTTGTTTTTTGAGACAGGGTTTTTCTGTGTAGCATTGGCTGTCTTGGACTCATTTTGTAGACCAGGCTGGCCTCAAACTCACAGATATCTGCTTGCCTCTGCCTCTGCCAGAGTGTTGCAACTATAGGCGTGTGCCACCGTGCCTGGCTAGGTGTTATTTTTAATGTGAATGTATTAAATAGATGTTGTTCAGGAGTCTTGAAACAAAATTTTACAATTAATTTCCAGCAAAAATAATCTTCATTATTTCTTTAAAATCAGAATTACTCCTGAAGGTAAAGCTTAAGTTTATTTAGGCCTGGAAATTTTAAATCTATATACATAAATTCATACATATGCATATACATTAAAACAAAATAGTGGTTTCAATCAGAAGTGTCTTCATTGTCTCCCCTTCCTTCACTCATATAATTACTACCAATGCAGGCCCAGGAAGTCATCAGCTGTTTTAGTAACTTAAAAAAATAAAACAAACGATAAAATATCCCCAAGATTTCAGAGACTGCAGAGTACTCTGCATAAGTATGTCTTGTTCTCTTTTACTAACATAGCAGACAAAAATGCAAAACAAATTTCCCACCAGAAAGCAGATGTATCTCTTCATTCATAAGTCAGTGAAGGCAGAACTGGATGATGAAGAGGTTATTTTTCATTAGTAAGCTAAAAATCTGAATGCTATAACTAAGTTAGTCTACAACAAAGCTATCCTGAGCTGTAGACAGAAGGCCAGCCTGTATACTCCTTAAAGACAGCAGTCAGCTTGTGAAACGTATATGGAAACTCACACTCAGCTATTTGGCCTGTCCAGCAATGAGGAATTTAGTCCAGCATTGCCAGTGTGTTTGTCAACATTCTTCTAAGAACGACGGATAATACTGTTTATGAAAAGTTTTATGCCTTGAAAACCCTCTGAAAATAAATAATCCAAATACCAGTTCCATTTCTTCCCCTGCAGGTACAAAAAAGGGAAAATTACTTATTGAACATGTACACTTGTTCCCTATCTCCTTTCCCCAGAAAAGTTTACAACATCCTAAATGCAAATTGAAAGCAACTGATTAGAAGGACTAGGTTCATGATTAGAGAGCTAAGTCACTAAATTAATCTAAGGGCTACATATTGCTTTAATTATATCAGCAAAGCAGTCATCAGAGCAAAGTACTGTGAAATAGAAAAGCACCACCATTCTCATACTCTGGAAATTTAGTATCTAAAATAGATGACACAAAAGATATTCTGTCACTCACTGTCTATGCTGTGTACCAGGAGGATTTCTAGGATAGTGAAAACACTGTACATGTTGTTCTTACATCAGATTCATTTTAGATACATACACCTGTACTACTACATGAGACAATGAATAATCAGAATAGCAAGAATCAAACTATGAAGAGTTATATCCTAGCAACAATGAGGGTGTATGCCAATAAGTCTGGATGAAAATTATTCAACTGTGTTATGAAGGCCAATATTTCATTTTCACTTTTTGGAAGCAGTCGAACCAAGACTAAAAAAAAGTAAAGGCATATAAAATCTGTTGATTAAGCTGCATGAAATCCCTCTGTGATGAAAGTAAAGTTATTTACCCGAATAGAGCTCAGGTCTACCGTCCTTTCTTCTGGGTTCTCCTTAAAAAAAAAAAAAAGGAAGTGAGGAATCATAGAGATGAACACACCAGGTTAGCATAAGTCATCAGATAATAACCATGGCTCTCCATACTCTGATTCATCTTGCTAGGTTCTATTTCAAGCATCACCCTGGGTTTCCTTTTCAATAAGCACTCACTAACCCCCTGTATTTCCTTCTCCCTAAAAGCACAAATAGGGGAGCAATAAAGGTATAATGGATAACTGAGCACCTAAGTTAAGCTAACCTATGACTTCTTTTTAGCTTGTACTTAATTATTAAAGTAGTGATTGAGGGTAGACATTTACCCAAAAAAAAAAAAAAAAAAAAAAAGAATGTGTCTGAATTTCACCTTCAAGGACAGATATGCATTTTCAGCTTTCCATATTGATCGGTCCTCTCTGGATTTTACTGGAGTCCACTGTAATAAAACATGGCTCATCTCTGATTTTATTTATTTATTTTTAGTTATTTTGGTGGGGGCCTTACCAATCTTGTTTATCAATTCAGAGAATCAGCTTTTTGTCTCACTGAGGCTTTATTTGCTCTTTTAGTCTCTACTTTATTTATTTCTGCCCTATTCTTCATTATTTCTTGCCATTTACTACCTTTCTAGAAACTTGTGGTGCATCATTATTTTATTTAAAATCCGTAGTTTATTTGTTTTTTAAAAGTTGTGAGTTTTTTTATGTATATGGGTATTGTGTTTTGTTTGTTTATTTTTTGCCTGAATGTATATAAGTGCATCACATGCGTGCCTGATGTTCACAAAAGCCAGAAGAGGGCATTGGATCCCCTGGAATGTAACCAGAGTGACAGATGGTGGTGAGCCACCATGTGGCTATTGGGAACAGAAGCTGGGTCTTCTGCAAAGATCAGTAAGTGCTCTTAAGCACTGAATCATCTCTCCAGACCTTAGGATTTTTTTAAGTAAACACAGCTTCCCTGCCCCAGAAATATTTAGCTGTCTCCCAGAAGTTCTGGTAGGTTGTGATATGATTTCATTTGATTATAGGAATTTTAAAATTTCCTCAATACATTAAAAAATGTATTCTTCAGTCTCCAGGTATCTGTGTAGTTTCTCTTACTGTTGGTTTATAGTCTAGTTTCAATATTCTGAAAAGGATTTTTGGTTTTCACTACAGCTGCTTTGAAAACTGCATTTACACATGCAGAAGAATAAAAAATTAGATCCGTACCTCTCACCTACCTTGAAAATAAATCCAAAATGAACCAAAGACCTCACTGTAAGACCTGAAATTCCTCAATTGCTAGAGAAAAAAAAACACTTCAAGATACAAGTATAGGCAAACACTTTCTGGAAAGGAGTCCAACAAAGCAGAAAATAATCCCAAGAATTGACAAGTGGGGTTACATGAACTTAAAGAACATTTGCACAGCAATGGAAACTATGAACATATAATCCGCAGAATCAGAGAAAAACTCTGCCAGCTAAATTTCAGACAGGGAGCTAATATCTAAAGGACTGCAAAAATTAAAACATCGCAAAAACAATTTATCCAATCAATCAATCAATAAGGTAACAAACCGAATAGAACATTCTCAAAAGAAAAAATACAAATGGCTAATAAACATTTTACATTTGACATCCTTAGCCACCAGGAAAATGAAAACTAAAACTACTTTGATATTCTATCTCAGCTAAGTCAGAATGGCTATTAAGAAAACATGAGACTAGAGATTGCTCAACACTATAATTACAGTTGCAGCAAATCAGACATTTTATGGCCCCTGGAGCATCAGACATACCTGCGGTACACATACAAACATGCAGGGAAAACCTCCATATACATAAAATAAAAATAAATCACAATCATATAAAAAGGCGATGACAACAAACACTGGAGAGGATCCCTTATTAACTGCTTGTTGGAGAATAAATGGCTGTAGCCACTATGGTAATCAGTATGTTTATTACTGCATTACTCATTAAAATCAGGAAATAGAAAATACCCTTTATATCCATCCACAGTTTAATGGATTAAAAAAAACGTGGTACAGTCACACAGCTGAATTCATTCACCAATTAAAAAACAATGAAATCAGACAGCGGGGCAAGATGGTGGCGCCGGGAGGACTCTCATTCTAAGGAGCAGCACAGCAGGATTGGCACAGTGACCAGCAATCAGAACTCGAGGCCATAAAACACAAGTGATTGTGTTTCACAGGTGAGAGGATACCCCACGGTGGGGGATTCAATCAGCTTTAACTCACCCGGCTAAACCGCGGAAGAGATCCCAGTTCCGCCAGTTCCACCAGGCGCTTGGTCGCCAGCCCAGAGCTACATGCCAGCGCGATCTGGTCACAGTCCCAGACTGAACTGTGGGCCCAAAACACCATAGACTGGATTTCCCAGTTGAGAGATAACCCCACGGAGCAGGAAACAATTGGGACCGACCTCAGGTTACCCAGACATCCCCTGGAAAAAACTCGGGTTCCGCGGGTGCCCCAAGAGCCAGGCCGGACCCAGAGCAGGGACCCAGGCGCTTGCACGGAGCCCTGCCTGCACGCCTGATTCGCCACCTCAGATAGAACTGTGGACACCAGAAAACCAGGGCACCAGGCACCAGAGACTGCATTTCACTGGCAGGTGCAAACCCACAGGGAGGGAAACGGCTGGTCTGATCTCAGAGCACTCAGCCGACACCCCCACCCCGAAACGGTCTAGAGAAAATTACCCAGTTTAGGGAGCCGCCAAGGCTCCAAACGGCCAGAAAGGCAGAGCCACAAGCGGGCATCTGTGCCTGTGGGTTCTACTCGCCACCCCAAACAGAACAGCGGTCCCCAAAGCAAAGACTGCGTGTCTCTGGCAGGAGAAAACCCCCAGCGGAGGGGGTCAGCAGCTCTAACACTTAGGAAACCCAGCACCAAAACACTTCCTGGACTCACGCAGACTCTAGTGCAGGCAGGAGCGCTGTGCTCTGCCGCCATTATGAGTTCCCCTAGGGAACTGGGACACACAGCTGCATCCTCAGACCTACAAAAGCCAGAGAGCCATTACAGCAGCCCTCAGATACTGTGCCAAGGATCAACCAGTTATCCCTAGCTAGACTATCAAAACTGTGGGAATCCCTGGTCCTTCAAGAGGGCTGCACCCACAGCGTCTGGACCAGAGCAGTGCCTGCAGCCGCCATCCCAGACAGGAACACACAGCTTCTGGTCCAGAGTGAGGCACCCAGGCTCCAGACCAGAGCAGTGCCCCCAGGCGCCAACTCAACCTAGGTGCATATTCTCCAGGTCCAGAGCGGAGCAAGTCCAGAGACTTGCTGAGTGCACCTCTCAATTTGCCGGACAGAACTGTGCGCCACAGGATAACAGACTGAGTTTCTCTGTTGGGAGAAAACCCCACAGCTAGGGAATCAGCAGTTTCTTCAAGAGGACTATACATGGAAATTTAGTGAGCAGCAGCACACTAAATTTATAACAAGAAACCCAGCAGTGGGGCAGCTGTCTTGAGAAATTCTATGGGTAAGAGGAGATCCCCCCCCCCCTGCCTAACATAGACCACAGCTACTACTCAGGGCTATAAACCTGAGGTGAGCAGTGGCAACTCCGGAGAAACACTGGCCATACAGTGACCATACCCAAAAAGCAGAGAAGGATTCCTTCAGGAAAAATCATCTTCCGGCCAAGGGAATACTCCCTACCTCAGGACTCCAGGAAGCACAGAAACTAACAGCCAACACCTAAATCAGCCCAATGAGTAGAGATCAGCGTAAAAGCTCAACCAACAAAAGACAGAGCATTATGGCATCTCCAGAACCCAGCCATCCAGGGGCGAACAGCCCTGGACAATGCAGCATAATAAAAAATCAAGAAGATGACCTTACATCTATGTTGATGAAGAAGATAATAGAGGAAACAAATAAAATACGTAAAGAATTAGAGGAAGATAAAACCAAACAGATCATGGCTATCCGTAAAGAAATGGAGGAAGATAAAGACAAGCAGATTAGGGCCATCCGTGAAGAAATACAGGAAGATGCAGCCAAACAGCTTGTGGCCTTCAGAGAAGAAATAATTAAATCACTTAAAGAAATAAAAGAGACAGAGTTGAAGGAACTAAAAGAAAAAGAGGAAAATACAAGCAGACAGGTGAAGGAAGTAAACAAAACAACTCAAAACCTGAAGATAGAACTAGAAAAATTAAAGAAAACACAAATGGAGGAAATAATGGAGAGGAAGATTTTAGGGAAGAAAACAGGAACTACAGAGGTAAGCATAACCAACAGAATACAAGAAATGGAAGAAAGAATCTCAGGTGTAGAAGATACAATGGAAGAAATCGACGTATCTGTCAAAGAAAATGTTAAATCCAAAAAATTCCTGACACAGACCGTCCAAGAAATCCAAGACAATATCAAAAGACAAAACCTAAGAATAATAGGAATAGAGGAAAAAGAAGACTCCCTTCTCCAAGGCCCAGAAAATATTTTCAACAAAATCATTGAAGAAAATTTCCCTAAGATAAAGGAGAAGCCAATAAGGATACATGAGGCCTACAGAACACCCAACAAATTTGACCAGAAAAGAAAATCCTCCTGCCACATAATAATCAAAACAGTAAGTATACAGAACAAAGAAAAAATACTAAAGGCTGCAAGGGAAAAAGGCCAAGTAACATATAATGGCAAACCCATTAGAATCACACCTGACTTTTCAACAGAAACTATGAAAGCCAGAAGGGCCTGGACAGATATCATGCAGACCCTAAGAAAACACAGATGTCAGCCCAGGATACTATACCCTGCAAAACTCTCAGTCCTCGTAGACGGAGAAAACAAGATATTCAATGACAAAAACAAATTTCAACAATACCTACACACAAATCCAGCATTATAGAAGACACTGGAAGTGAAAATACAACCCAAGAAAATTAGCTTCTGTCAAGAAAACACAGGAAATAATTAACCTTACTACAGTAAAACAAAAAGCAACCAAGCACACAACCTTATGAACACAGCCAACATCAAAATCAAAG